TTGGAAATACTTTCAATGTGATTTAGTTAAAATTGGCATGTGAACTTGAGTTTTTCTCATCAAAAAGATGGGTAAGTCTTTGAGAATTTGAAGTGGGACACTTGGAGAAGTAAAGGAGATGAAATTTAAGTGATTAGTTTGAACAGATAAATTCTTGTTAATTTAAATGGTATCTAAACTACTGGCAGGATGGCAAATGCTGGTTATATGGCTTCTACCAAGGTCTCATCCAACAATTTTTACATTTTATTTTTGGTTAGACAGTTTATTGCTGTTTATAGAACGTGCCTATAAGTGATGATTGCCATGATCTGCTTGATGATTGAGCTGCCGGATAATAAAAATTGTGAAGATGTTCATCAATATTAATTGGAATTATGGTTGCTTAAGAGTTTTTGCCTGCAAGAGCAACACTTAGAACCACTTTTAGAGTTTGTTAAAGAAATACGAAGGAGAAGAGAATGAATAGAGGTTAAATTTTAAAATATTAAGTTGGTTTCATGTAAAGAAACATTTCCAATAATTAAGATTCCAAATGTCTAAGTGGGTATATTTAAACTGTAGTAAATAAGATTGACTTGTAAAATAGTAGTCCTTTGTAGGAATAAAGTTGAAATAAAGTGATGTTTAAGTATTAGGTTATAATTGACTTAGATAATATTTAAAAATTTCACCTACCATGATATGCCTGATCATATATATTTTTTCCTCTTAAATGTTTTGGGAAATATAAATTTTAAAAAACAAAATAACAATAAAGTAATGACACCCTTTCTGTACTCCACCCAGTTTAAGAAGGATAATATATTGGTGTATTTTTGAAAGAGTAGGTAAAAACCATGAGTACTGATTAAATCAACATAAAACACTGTATTTTTAAAGGTAAAAATCCTAGGTGATAAACATTGGTGATATACATTGAGTAGTCCGATGATTGAAATTAATAGATAAAAGAAGACTTAGAATCAAGTAATTTAGTAATGATAACTTGGGCCAAGAATGCCTTAAGATGTACAGGGGTCTATAAGTAATAATTTTATTGATTTCAGAGAGGACGGGAGAGGGAGAGAAAAATAGAAACATCAATAATGGGAGAATCATTGATCAGCTGCCTCCTGCACGCCCCACACTGGGGGGTCAAGCCCGCATCCCGGGCATATGCCCTGAACAGGAATTGAACTGTGACCTTCTGTAGGTCAATAATCAATCACTGAGCCATTCTAGCTGGGCTATAAGTAAGCTTGAAAATGAAAGCGGTAATAGAAATACTCAAAACAATATTGCATATCTAGGGTAATATATTTAAAGTACAGTAATGATTATTATGGTTGCAGTTAATAGTTTTGAGTGCTTATTCTGAGCCAAGCATCACACTAATTCCTTTATTCAAGTTATCTCATTTAGTCCTCACCACAGCCCTTTGAGACAGGTATTGTCATCTACATTTTAGGAATTGAACCCGAAACCTTTTTGGTGCATGGGACAATGCTCCATTCCTAAACTTGTTTTAATTCTTTTCCTAAAAGATCTGATTGAGTTACATATTCTCTTAAATCATTGATAACCTATAAGGTCATTCTTTAGTTTTTTTTTATTTTTTAAAAATTATTCTTAAGTTTGCTTTGTTGTGAGATTATTTTGCTTCTTTCCCAACCCCTTAGGCCCCATCCCCACCCCTGGACTCCTCAGGATATATTAAGTATCTCTGATCTTTCTGGGCCATACCCTAAGTTCCCTGTGACTGTCATTTAAAAATCTTGTTATTTTCCTCTCATTTTCATTTTCAAGTTTCTCAATGATATCAACCAGTCTTTACTCAAACACATTTTCTTGTCAGTTTTCCTAAAATAGGCCCTTGGTAAAGTCAGTCATTCCGATGTCTTAAGTTATGGACTAGGAATCCAAATTCCACTCTTCGATATTATTCATTCACCTTTTCTGTTCTCCTTTTTCTTCCATTGTTCCAAACTTCAGTTATAGTAAGGGAAAAATATCTGTAGACCGATATATTTCACTTTTTGGGCATGTTCTCAGAAATCCTGTATTTTATTTCAGCAATATTATCTGCTGCAAATGATTCAGAAGGCAGGGATAATGTTTGCTGGTTTAATAAGTTTTGGTTAGCTGCCTATGTCAGTCATTCCAGATAACACGGTTCAGAAAAAAAGAAAACAACACTCCAACTGGCAAGGCTATATTTAGCTATTTCCATACATACTTAGAGGAAGGTGTCAGTTGACTGTTAAGAGAAATTTCCTCTCTGGTAACAATAAAGGTTTCTCTAAACTTGCTGTTACTTGTGGTTCTCTTATTGTTCCTCAGAGCATGAATTGATGCTTTTCCAGAAAGTTTGGCAAAACCTTGTTTGGGAGGAGTATCTATTTAGAGAATATCAGAATTTCCCATAAGATTGTTGCATTTCACTCAGTCACTGAGCACCTGTTTTTTGTCAGACATTCTTCTGGCTCTGGGGATATATATTACACACACACACACATACATGCTTAACACAAAAATACATCTCTCTGGATATTCTAGTAGGATTAGATGAAAGATAAATATAATAAATTGCACATTAAACTATGAAATGAAAGGTGCCATGGAGGAAAAATGAGAGGAGTCAGACGGAATAGAGAGCGTAGAATGAGGAGGGTGGTTACAATTTAAAACAAGATAGTTAGGCTAGGCCTCATTCTAAAGATGACATTTGAACACAGATTTGAGGTGAAGATGTGAGCCATATAGGTATCTAAAGGAAGAGCATTCTACATAGAGTACAGAAGTCCTCATTAATTTGCTAATACAAAGACAAGTAAGAGGAATGAAGAAAGCAACTTCAAAATGTTTTTATCACTCAAGTATATTCCCAAGAGAAATGAAAACATGTACATGAAAATTGAATGTTTAGAGCAGTGTGATTGATAATAGCCAAAAAGTAGAAGCAACACCAATTTTCATCAACTGATGAATGGGTAAAAAAAAAAAAGGTGGTATTATACATACACTAGAACAGCGGTTCTCAACCTGTGGGTCGCGACCCCTTTGGGGGTCGAACGACCCTTTCACAGGGGTCGCCTAAGACCATCGGAAAACATATATAATTACATATTGTTTTTGTGATTAATCACTATGCTTTAATTATGTTCAATTTGTAACAATGAAAATACATCATGCATATCAGATATTTACATTATGATTCATAACAGTAGCAAAATTAAAGTTATGAAGTAGCAACGAAAATAATGTTATGGTTGGGAGTCACCACAACATGAGGAACTGTATTTAAGGGTCGCAGCATTAGGAAGGTTGAGGACCACTGCGCTAGAAGGAAACTAATTCATTCCAGAATATGGATAAACTTTGAAAATGTTATGCTAAGTGAAAGAAGCCAGTCACAAAGACCACATATTGCATGATTCCATTTATATGAGATGTCCAAAATAGCAAACCCATAGTGACAGAAAGTAGATTAGTGGATGCCAGGTGCTGGGAGTAAAGGGGAATGGAGAGGGACTGCTAACAGGGTTTCTTTTTGGGGTGATAAAAAAATGTTCTAAAAATAGTGGTGGTGGTTGTAGAGCTCAACATACTAATCCTCCCCCCCCCATTATACACTTTAAAAGGGTGAATTGTATGGTATATGAATGGTTTCAAAATAGTTATAAAAATGTTTTTTGAAAGAATATGGTTTTAATAATAAAAAGAATACTTACTTGGTTAAAAAAGTTAGATCAGTGTATAAAGATAGAAAAAAAAGGTTAATTGAATCATACAGCCATTCAGTTTACATTATTGGCACTTTGGGATGAATCTTAAAATACTTTTTAGAATGCATTTCTAGTTATTAAGGGTAGGAAAAAATAGGCAAGTCACAAAAGAAGAAACAAATGGCCATATTCATTTTAAACTTTTATTCAGTATGTAGCAAATGGTGCAATATTTTTAAAATTTGTCATCCCTCTTTTATTAGTAGCCAGTTCAAACAATTTATCCCGTAAACTTAGCTAAATTTAAATTTTTTCATGAAATAAATGGATTCTGGATTTTATAGACTTCAGAGTTATAATCAACAGACTAATCAACTTAAGTGTAAAATAGTGCACATAACATGGTCCTTCTGCATGAAGCTGTTTGGAACTTCATATGATGTGTGATTTATCACACAAGTTCGACAGTTCTGAACTGTTCTATATACTGTTTAACCAGAGGAGTTCACTAACCAAACTGCTCTAAAGATTTGAATTTCAACACATACTCTCAATTTCTGTACTTGTTCTGGTATAGTATTCATACAATGGAATATCATGTAGCCATAAAAATCATTTTCACAGAGAATATTTAATTCCATGGCGAAAATGGGTTAAGCAGTAGGAATGATAATCTCAATTTTGTGTGTTTTTTTTAAAAAGCCACCTATTTTTCCTAAATAGAAGATGGGAGGGTACAATAATTATCTGTGGATGCTAGGAAGAAAGATTATTTATGAACATTTTAGATTTTTACTGCAGACATGCATTACTTTTAAAATGAGATTTTGGTTATATTTAAGTTAAATCTTTACAATAGCTTGCCTTTAAAGTGACAGCAAAGGGCTGCCACTTAGCACCTTAACAAAAACCTTTCCCATTGATTTATCAGTTGGCAAACATTTTCAAGTGCCTATCATGTGCCAAGGCATTGTTTGGCAATGCGAGATTTAAACATTCATTTACTTGAACATTTTTTATTAGATCACTACACTTGGAATATTGATAGAGGGCAGTTCTTGTCCTCAGGAAGCCCAGTGCAGTGGAGGAGAGCAGACAGTCACAATATGGTGTGCTAAAGGCTGTAATACAGAGTTGAATAGATCATCCCCTCTCCTTTAAAACCTATGGTCTGTAAAAAAGTTGTGTCTTAAAATCAGTACCATATGGCAGACTATAAAAGTGTGATATGATAGATTCAGGAAAAACTCTAAGGATAACTCTGTACTAAATTCTCATATTTTTATCTTCCAGGTTTCAGCACAAAATGAACATAATCAGGGAAAATAAGGATTTGGCATGTTTCTACACAACAAAACATTCGTGGAGGGGAAAGTATGTATTTCTGTTGGTGTTATTTTCCTGTGCTTCTATAAAGTATTATTGTAAACATTACTCTTTCAATATTTTGAGTTGTACCACACAACTCATTAATGCCTTTCAGCCCTCTATCAAAAGCATCTGTGCATATTTCATACCAAGATGCTACATTTGGAATACTTACTGCTCTTTTTTCTTTTGACATTTCTGGTTTTCTATGTCTGTCTTGGCAAGGAGTTTGGTAAGAATTAAAAATAACAGTTAAAAGGAAAATAAGCCAGTTATCCAAACCCTCTTGATTGCTATCACTTAATGTTGAGGTTATGCAGTAGTAACATAGTGTTAACTTCACAACTTTATCACCCAGATAATAGCCTGTATGTGATCAACACATTTTCATGTCCATTTGACTGTCAGAGAAAATATATCAATAGTGCATCTTGTAATCATTTTTAGGTGTGTAATGAAATTTAAAAATTGGATTTGATCTTTTCTTTTCCATGGGAGGGGGCAGTGACATTTTTTAGTAGCTTGCCAGGTCAGACTAAGGTGTAGATGCTTTGTTTCCTTTTTGTAAAATGGATGGTAATTCCTGCCCCTCAGATTGCTCTAAGGATTAGATGACATGATATGAACTGTATGAAGGTTTTAAAATTCTGCCTTAAACAGTGAGTATTCAATGAATAGCACCTGTTGTTGACCATTAGGAAAAAAGTTTAGTCTCTTGTTCTTTTGAATAGTAATAATTAAAATGATGTGCCACATTTTGACAAATAGGTGACTACATTATTCTAGGTAAGTCCTCATATAGACAAAACATGACGTGTACAAAGCCATTAACTTTAGTGTTTGTTCTTAACTTCATTTTTTAGGTAACAGCGTGGTAACTTAGAATGGTGCAACATCTGAATTCCGTAGCGTTTCTGGTTTTCATAGGCAAACTGACTATATAATTTTGAAAGATTTGAGTGTTTTGTTTCCTTTTGGTAGTTCAATTGTATGAACTCCTAAAATAGACAGCATAATTGTTATCCTTGACATTTTTTTTCCTGTTAATTTCATTGAGCAAAGTTAGAAAATTGGCATATTCAGGGTAATATGAGTCTCTTTAGTTCTGTAAGCAGCCTTAGATAGTTTGTATATTTAAATGATCTTTACTTTTCCTCAAGTGATAGATTGCTCTGATTATCATAATGTAACTTCTGTTTTTAATACAATTATAGTATGCTGATTCATTAATGCTAAAGAACAAACTTACTGTAATATTTTTTGCTTTGTGAGCTTGTCAGTAATTGTGATCATCTGGAAATATTTTTTTAATGTTCTTAGAAAGTAGTGACTAAGACTTACGACAATGTTCCTTTTCTTCTTTTTTTATAATAATTTGGAGCAGAACTATTTCTGTTCCCTCATCACAATTCCTTGCTTTCATCATTCAAACCTTGAAACCTTTTTTTTTGTATTTATAACAGCTTTATTAAGATATAATTTATACAACATAAAATTCATCCTTTTAAAATGTATAATTTAATGAACCATCTCTACTAACCGTTTTCAGAACATCTTCATAAACACCAAAAAACAAACAAACATAAAAAAACACCTCTAAAAATATTAGCAATTACTTCCCTTTTCTTCCCAGCATCTGGCAGTTACTAATCTACGTTCTGTCTCTGGATTTCCTTATTTAGGACATCTCATGTAAATGGAATCATAAGATATGTGGTCTTTTTGTGACTATCTTCTTTCATTTAATATGTTTTCAAGGTTTACCCCTGTTGTAATATGTGACAGTACTTTCTTTTTATTCCCAAATAATACTCTGTTGTATAAATATGCCACATTTTTTATCCATTCATCAGTTAATGGACATTTATATGTTGCCACTTATTTACTTTGAATAGTGCTGCTATAAATGTTAATGTACAAGTTTGTGAGTGAATCTATATTTCCAGTTCTCTTGGGAATATACCTAGGAGTGGAATTGATGTTACATGGAGTTATATGGTAATGTGACGTTTAACTTTTTGAGGAAGAGCCAAGTGACTACAGCATTTTTCTGTCCTATCATCAATGTATGAAGAATCCAATTTCTCCACATCCTTACCAACACTTGTGATTGTTTATCTTTTTTTATTTTAGCTATCCTAATGGCTATGAAGTAGTATCTTATTGTTTATTTCCCTTATGACTAAGCATCTTTTCATGTGCTTATTTGTCATTTGTGCATCTTTCATGAAATGTCTTTTCAAATCATTTACCCATTTTTAATTGGATTATTTGCCTTTTTAATGTTGAGTTGTAAGAGTTCTCTATATATTCTGAATACAAATCCCTTATCAGATACATGATTTGCAAATATTTTCTCCTATTCTGTGGGTTGTCTTTTTACTTTCTTGATAGTATTTTTTGAAGCAGAGAGTTGATTTGGATGATTTTCAAGTTTTTCTTTTGCCATTTGCGCTTCTGATATCATATCCTAGAAACCATTACCTAATTGAAACCATCTACTAATCTAAGGTCTCAAAAATTGACTCCTATGTTTTCTTCTAACAGTTATAGCTTTGATTTTGGGTTAATTTTTCTATATAGTATGAAGTAGGTATCTGGCTTCATTCTTTTATATATGGATATCCAGTTGTTCCAGCATCATTTATTAAAAAGAGTATTCTTTCTCCATTGAATTGTTTTGACATTGTTGTCAAAAACCAATTGACCATAGCTTTGGCTGAGTGGAGCATTGTCCCATACACTGAAAGGTTGCAGGTTTGATTCCCATGTGTTCAAAACAACTAGGTTGTGGGTTCGATCCCTGGTTGGGGCGTGTACAGGAGGCAACCAATCGATGTTTCTCTTGTCGATGTTTCTCTTTCTTTCCCTTCCTCTCTCTCTAAAATGGGCATGTCCTTAGGTGAGGATTAAAAAAATCATTTGACCATAAATATAAATGTAAAGGTTTATTCCTGAACTCTCAATTCTATTCCATTGGACTATATGCCTATCCTTATGCCAGTACCATCCTGTCTTGATTACTGTAGCTTTGTACTAAGTTTGAAACTGGGAAGTTTGAGGTTCCAACTTTATTCATTTTCAAGATTATTTTGGCTGTTCTGGATTTCTTGCATTTCCATATGAATTTTAGAGTCAGTTGGTCAGTTTTACAAAAAAGGCATCTGGGATTTTGATAGGGATTGCATTAAATCTGTAGATCAATTAGGGGATTATTGCCACCTTAACAGTATTAAGTCTTCTGGTCCATGAACAAGGGATGCCTTTCATTTGTTTAGATCTTTAAAATTTCTTTCAATAGTGTTTTGTTGTTTTCAGAGCTAAAAAGCACTTTTATTTGCATAAAAGTGAAGTTTCCTTTTTGGCCTAAGCAAGCTATTTCTGATAGGAAGGAACAGTGCAGATTCATTGTGGAAAACTTCAGAGTAATGTTCAAAATACAGGTTTAAGTTTTTTTCTGGATGGAAATTACAAGTGAAATTTACCTATGGATCACTTTTATATTTGCATAGGTTAATTGTAGCAATTGGGGCTCTGAATTTAAGAGTAGCATTTTAGTATCTGAACAGGATTTTAACTTGAGTACATTAAACTAGGTGGTGATCAGTCCATGAAATTCAGTGGCAGAGCCCATTACCTTCATAGGTAGTTGGCTTCATAGATAGTCTGTATAATGGCTAGATAGAGTAAATTTTAAGAAGAGTTGAGGGAGTGAAACTGATTTTCCAAGTGGAGTTTGACTAAAATCAGAGTATCCTGATAATATAGCCAGAGGAATTATCAATTTGTCTGTTGTTTTATTTTTTTTTTTTTTTTTTTTTTTAAAATATATTTTATTGATTTTTTACAGAGAGGAAGGGAGAGGGATAGAGAGTTAGAAACATCAATGAGAGAGAAACATCCATCAGCTGCCTCCTGCACACCCCCTACTGGGGATGTGCGGGCAACCAAGGTACATGCCCTTGACCGGAATCGAACCCGGGACCCTTCAGTCCGCAGGCCGACGCTCTATCCACTGAGCCAAACCGGTCTCGGCACTTGTCTGTTGTTTTAAATACGAATGTATGAGTCATAACTACTGGAAACATAATGATACTAACTACAATTAGTTCAGTGACTAGTGGAGTTTTGAGACACTTTTCCTATTATTCAATCAGCAGAATAATAGCAATTGGAATGGGTAACATTTATCAATTGTAAACAATAAGCGACAAGCACTTTATATGAATTATTTCTTATAATCTTCTCCTTGTGATATATATATATATATATATATATATATATATATATATATATTAACAACATCTTCATGGGGGAAAGTGAAGCTTAGAGAGGTTAAACAAATTATCAGAGGATATATAGAAAGTGAGTTGTCCAGACAGCATTCAAACCCAGGCAGTGTGATTCTAGAGCTGGTGGGCTTAACTATTAAGCTGTAACACCTCCTTTAGCAATGCTTACCACTGATGCCTGTGCCATGCCAGCACAGCCAAGGGTTCGGTGAGCCTGAGGCGGGGCAGCAAAGGATTAAAGACAAAGAATATAGCTGGGGCCCGGTGGATCTCCTGTGCCTGGATGAGGCTACAGAGAAGGATCCAGCCAGCAAGCCGAGGCTTTATTTTATAGTCAAAGAAAAACAAGGTAGTGGTCAACATAGGTTACAATGTTCTTGTGAGTTTCACTTGTTTTGGCAGCACTTGCTTCATCTCCCACAGCCCATTAGCTACCCAGAAAGGAGCTAGGGCGAGTCCATAAGATCAAGCTTAATTATGCTAAGAGGGCTCTGCCCTCTAAGCTGGGACTTGTTTGTGATTCTGCCACAGGTCAATCTGAGGCTTAACTCTAGGGCCACTCCCTATAGATGCCCTCTTTGAGAAACCTTGTATTTCAGTTATCCTTAGTGTCATGTGATGGACTAAAATTCTAGTTCAAATAACTGGATTCTCAAACTTTTAATAATTAAAAAGTCTAGATTCTGTGAGAAACCTAAAGGCTTCTAGAGATTT